GTGAACCTAACACAGATTACTTACACATGTTTACTGCTCAGTTTTTAAAAATAATGAATGACACATCTCAAAAAATGAAATGTTTTTTATCAAAACAAATCATCTTTGTTGACATTTGGGATCAATATCTCTCGCGACATTCAGGAATCATGGTAAGAGAGATGGATTAGGGGTCTAGGGATTCACCAGTTTAGAGTTGTGTTCAGCAAATTTTTTTTAAATTTCATTTCCTTTCAATCTTAGTGAAAGGGATTATCTATTTTAGATGCAATGTTGAATCATGTCTATATACATGTATCTAGACCTAATCTCAATCACAAAGAAATGTTCTGTCACCAAGTATGAAATGCAAGATTAAAATTCAAACAATTGCAATATTTTGACAGAAGTGAGGATTGTATAACGTTGTAACTACAACTACATGCTTTGAAAAATGTATTCAACAAGAGGGTAGAGGCATGAACGAGTGTGTATTCATGGTAATCATATTAGAAAATGATTGACAGTCATTTTTGTCGCAGAAACTGATTCAAAATTCCTAAAAATATTCAATGAAATAGCAAATCTCAACTTCTCAAATGCCTGGAAATTTAAGAATACATAATCACTACTACAACAGACATATGATGGAAACTAGTAAACCCAAATCTACAATATATGCGATATGTGCGGTTTCATACAAATATTATGCATTTGGAATTCCAATATGCTTGAGATGTTATTTGTATTAGCTCAGAAAACATGTACATGTATGAAGTTCAATGTTTTTCACACCTTTCTTTTGTTCGCTCTCCTACAAAGGTCAAGTAGATGTGACGTCTACAACGGTTCTACAACGGTTCTACTGTGCGTGAGCGAGCGAGCAAGTAAGCGCAGGTATATCAAGCATTCACACATGTCTCGGTGAAAGACCCACACCTTAATCTAAAGAATTCTCATCACAGTATTTGTCTCATGTTCAATCCTGTTGTGTCTTACAAACGACCTCCAGACGGGGGTAAATATTGGCAGATTATTGTTTCCCCTGTCAGAATTTGTAAAGTAAATCTTGAATCTTGACCTAAAACTCAGACACAAGAGAGAGAGAGAGAGGGGGGGGGGGGGAAGACTGCAGAAATTTGAAGAAAGATCCACTATAAATACTAGCCACATATTGTCTCATCAAATATTCACCAATTGCATGTCCCACTCTATAGAATTATAGAATTACATCTTTACAAAAACTCAATAAATGAAAGGAAAGAGGGAGAGATGAGTGTTCAAATTCAGAGAGAGATCCATTAATGCAAAATAAAATATTTAAAAAAGAAAATATTTATAATGGAGGATTTCTACCTTTTTTTAAACATACCCCATGATCAACGATCTCTTAGTTCTAATAGTATTCTATGTACTTTTTGCACATTATTCACAAAACTGTCCTTTTGAACTTATCAAAGAGTATTATGCATTACACAATGGTAAGTGGGTAATAGTGTTGTATGCTCATTTGAATCAAATACTTGTGTCAACAAAGATAAACAATGAACGGGAATCAATAAACCTTCTTCAATATCCTGTTGGACGAAATTATTTCTAGGCTAAATACTGTAGCAGGATAATCATTCATTGCACCATATATTGTATGGATATCTCTGTTTCATGTCCAAGTGCTTTCATTTTGAAACAATCAAATGTATAGCATTGTACGGGTTCATGACTGACTCATGATGTAACCTACAATGATGCATCAATGCCAACGTCATTTAAAACATGTCACTTTTACAAATGTAACAAGGGGATTATTCTTCAGGGCAGATATTGAGCAATGCATGTCAATATTAACATGTCACCTCTGCTTCTGTGGTTCTTCCTGTTTGACCTATCATCGTAATTAATGGATGTACTCTTCAATAGGTAGCATTGACACTGTAGAGGTGTAGTATTACTACCGTACTAGGCCTACATGGTAAACTTGTATAACAATGAGACAGATATAATTTATAGAAGTACAAAAGTGCATTGTTTTGAGAGCAAAGAACAGACACCCAGAAAGGGGTTGGCGTCAGGGGGCAAATATTAGAAAATTCATAATATTCATTAATTGTCTGTTTGGAGCCTTCATGGGTTTTTTTCTTTGTGAAATGATACTAGTTAACCTCCTTCTGGTTTAAAACAGATGTAATATGAAGTGAAGATTATTTTACAGACTATGTGCCTGATGATGATAAAAGTTAAATATAGCAATAAAATTGGCCTTTCATGGGAACGATATTATGAATGATGCATCAAATTATGCATGATATGGAGCTGAAGAAGAGCTAAATTTAGGCTGGCTAAATATTGCATGATCTATAAATCATCATCATCATCATCATCCTGGCATCTCAAGGACACAAACATTAATCTTAACGGTAAACGGGACCACCCACTTGCAAAACATGGATTCTGAGATATTAATCACATTCCATGCTCCTTCATGTTACCATACATGAGTACACCAGACTAGACTGTCAGAATGAGTGAATTACACTTAATTAACAACCTGTAGCCATGCATGGCAATTTTCATTTTAAAGGTGAAATACAAGTTTTCAAAAATAATAATAATTGGGATAATAATTCTGAATAATTCCTTGGATTTTCCCTATTCCAATGTATCTGTTGCTTGAAGTTTGAAGCTGTGACAAATTTATCAAGGGGGTAGGGCATTCTCTGTGTGCAACCTATACAAATTTCAAAGCATAATGCTTGAACAGGGCTGTACACTGAGAACAGCTCTTATTGCCCATTTGGACTGCGAAGGACATATGTGAGCGGAGGTTTACCAGATGTATTATAGGACGTGTAGGTTGTTTTTAATATGTTATTTTCTGAAACACTTTACAATTTAAAATGGTAAATTTTGGTTAGACACAAACATACTGTAAAGTTAAAACCAAATTGAAAATTTAACAAACATCATCTTGTCATTTAGGTGTTAAATTCCTTTTCTCACTCTTGTGAGTGTGAAATACACATATTGGGCTACATCTTTTGTGAAGAACAAGTACTGAAATGTACAAGCTTCTCATAGATGAGCAAGTGAATGTACAACAAGGTGTAGTCCTGTATGTTCGTTTTCATGCAGGCTCATTCATGCAATCTTAGTAATTCAAACCTTAAAGGTTGATAACATCATCTGCATCATCTCTAGATGGCTTATCAGAAGCTGGAGATCATGAGATGTTCTAAACAAAAGTGACGAGTGAGTCAATGATTTTCAGAGATGATATTGATTGAGCATGAATTCATGGATATAGTTAGAACATTACATATTTACTAGAAAAGCACTCTTTTGAGAGACTGGGTGTAACAGACACCTACAAGTATATATTTGTAATTTTAGTATTTATGTTTTCTTGATCTTAACCTAGTCAGCTTAAGCAAATTATATGTCGATAGCTTTCAATGGTTTTTTGATTACTTCTACCTCACAAGTATGTTTTGCAATGGAATCAGTTACTAAAATCAGACAATGTAATACTCAAATTCAGCATTGACATCAGTACATGTGTAGTTGCCCTGCATCAGCTGATGTTTTCAATGCCTATAATCAGAACTATATCAGCTTAGACAATACAGTTGAAGATTGGTCTTAGGTATGGATTGATCTTAGCTTACATGTATGTTATAATAACAATATTTGTTAACTAAGACAATATATTACCCCTTATAGAATATTAACAGAGTCACATTCCTGTAAAATTAGAACACTCTTTAATAGATTGCCATTTCAAGTAGACTGATCAAGCGTTGTTCATAAAGCCTACATTGTATTCCTTGCTTTCCTTCATGTGGATGTAGGTCTTACATTCCGAAGAATATTTGCAACATTTCATTCAATTGCATTCCTTAGATGCCCTGGTACAGTATTTGCATGCCTTAAATTCCTTCCTTGTTGTACTGTTATAATGCACAATATCTATGTAAACCGCATTAGATATGATTATGGAACTAGAGGGTTGAGAGATAGGGGCCCTTCATGTTTTGTTTTACTCAATTTCTAATTAATCAAAGAAATGTACGAAGTTCCTTGCATTATTAAGGTTTCATTTTGTTACATATTCAAGCACATGCACTTAAAAAAAAAGTTATGCATCCATTTTTTTTGTTATTCGTAAAGAAAATTTCACATGTTATCATATGATGACTATTTTAAGAACATACATAGAATAATGTTTTCACAAGCCAAATATTGATAAGCAAAGGGCCTCATTTTGTTCCCCTACCCCTGTATTTAGCAGTATTCCTCAAATTCCACATTTGACTTTAAAATATCAGTGAGCTCTAATCTCTGATTTATGATGGCCTATAAATAGACAGGAGCCCCTCAACACTTCCTACAGGCACCCTAAATGGGGAAATGAAACTTTTTCTACTGATGAAAATTCTATTTACTCAGATCAGGCTTATATATTGAAAAACTGATACCTGTCTCGATACCTCTTTTGAAAATCAAATCTCAAAAAAATGTTTGCCTCACATTATCTTCAATGAAATGAATGAATATTATAAACATGTGCCTGAAAGCCCTGAATTAGACCACAACATTCACCAGGATAGATGAATAATCATGATAGACATACAGGGAAATAAAAATAGAAAGCTGTCACTTTCCCAAAATTGTTTATTGTACAGTAATGTAACACAAGGCCTAATATTAATAGTTTTGAAGAATTAGTACAGGGACTCCTAAATCCATACTAACAAGGTCAGTTGCAATTTTCCTTGTGAATGACCTAGTAAATATATATTTTGGCAGACCCCCCCCCCCCCCCCCCCCCCCAATTCTCATGCGCATGCTTCAAGTTAGGGCTGCCACTGTTGATAATTTTGGTAACCTTTCTATGAAGAAAACGCTTAAACAATCTGCTTTTTCAGATACGGTCGAGAACTCACGTCTCAGTTTTGATCAGATCAGATGCTAAACATGGGGAAATCAGACTTGGACCCCCCCCCCCCCAACCAAAAAGGTATACAATGTATCTAACCTTCCAACAGTTAGACAAATAACAAAAAGCAAACTGTCTATTTTTTGTCTCTGGTTTTGCCATTAAACTTGGCATGGTTTTATGAGTATAATAGCCATGTAGATAGGGGTCAGGGTTAGTCGTGTGTCCCAGCTGCTTACACTCACAGTATTAAATCAAGCTGGCTTATAAACTCAATTCATATGCCTCGTTATATTAAAGTTCTACATTGGAGTCCATCCCATGACAGGACAGGACAGGGTATATATTATGCAAGGAGACAAGGATTTGGCTCAAGCCATTGCCATACAATAGGCCTGCCTTCATCAGCTCGAGTTTGCCAAATAACCCGCTATTTTAAATATCTCGATCACAAATCGACCGCAGTTGCAATTAGCGGGATATTTGGTCGAGAAAATATCCTGAGAAATCTTGGTCTTATTTCCCAAAGAAAAAAAGCAGATGAAGATGATTTATTTTGCGCTTATGTTGCTGGAGACCTCAAGCAAATTAAAGATAATTTGTTGGTAAATACTTATAAATTCAAAAACAAGCAAATGTTGCTGTAACAAAGATCAAGTTTAATGAAGTGGCAAGTGGACATGGGCTGGTGAATTTTGCCTATTAGTAGGCTGCACACATTTTGCTTCAAATATGAATTGTGTGACAATCTTTAAATAATTTAGAAGAACATAAAAAGGTTTCTTCAATTAGTGTTACCAGGATGATAGCATGCATCTCTATGACTACACAGAAAGCACAGCAGTTATAATTGTTCTTGTATGAACATATAAACCATGATGCCGTGACAAAAACAAGGTTGGAATTTCATGCCGTGACAAGAAGTATTTTTCTCACGCTAAATGAAAAGAAACTTTGGTAACAACCAAGATTAGACTGACATCCTCAAACAGAAGGATAATTCACAGCATACTTTGACCTGATATCTAGATCCAACTCTTCATACAGGAACAAATAATTTACACATTGAATATCGGCCAATATTCTACACATCATTCCAAGACGCACAGGACGAAATGGTAAAGGATCTATCAATAGCAATGGCCTACAGCCTACAAGGCGGAGAGAAACTATCCATGACGGCCTTGGACAATCAAAACAAAACTTGGCTTTCGTTTTGAGAAATCAAAAATACGCCCCTGTAACTCTGAATGAATAGGTTTGGCTGCCATGTTGGCATAACCCTTTCAACAAAAACAACTATGAGATATAAGAGATAATAGCACAAACAAACAAACATGGGCCAACATAACAAATGCAAATGACTGCTGCATGTATACTGCAATCATCCATAAAGATGTGACAGAATCAATGTAAACTTAGCTTCAAATGAAGGAATTGTGAAGTCTTAGAAGAGGTTTGGCAGTCATGACATTTAGATAATATCGCTGCTACACTGTAGTGCTACTATGGAAAAGATTTGATGTGTAACATATTAAAATACAGGAATTGAGGACGTGGAACATTTAAATGCGAATGACTGCTGTATTAAGAAATCAACCAATGGAAGTACTATTCAAATTCAAAAGAAACTTATACTTCGAGAGAGAATATAAACATTTCTGAGGAAATACACTGTGTAGGTACATGTATGGCTGACATGACATTTAAAACAAAAATGATTTTAGGCCATTTGCAAGCTTGGTACATGTACATAAAATCTTATATATTCTATGTAAGAAACTAATAATAATGAAATTTCAGGATCAAAAGAAATTTTCAGTATTTTCTTTAGACAACCCAAATCTGATAGAAACATGTAATTTAATCAACAAGAATTTGGCTTTCCATTGACAATTCAAGAGATTCTGGCAAGGACGTTAACTGCATTACTGCTGCATTGGAAAAGATTGGAGTGTCTTGGAGAGGCCTTCTTCAGTTTTTCAGATCAGATTACTCAACGCCATAACCTCGGCTAAATATAAATCCTATCCTGAATTTTTTAGAAGCCGGTTTTATTTGGACTTTCTGGGCAGACTTCTTGAGAAGCTTATTACTGCTAGGCTCTTGCTTGCATTCATTTCAAGATCAATAAAATATTTTCTGCAAAAAACATTGCAAACACTTTTATGGGGGAACCTTGATTCTGACTTGTAATTCATAAAAGAGAAGCGAAAAGAATGTTTTGCAAAACCATATGCCCTTCCACAAGAAGTACACATTCATGTTTAGATCTATCACATGTATTTCTGTTCACCCATATATCCAGTTCATTAATCTTTATAAGCTGTTTCTATTCTTTTTTGTTGTGATTCCCATTTCCTGATTTGAACTTTCTGCTCACAAATTTTGTAGGGATTCAGTTATCATGTGTTAGTATAATAGTAGAACAGTATAATTACAAGAGCGAGCAAAATATATTATTACAAATCAGTATAGAATATAAAAGAGTATTAAATTATCATGTTAAACATATGCAAAGCAATATCACATTGGGAAAAAAAGTAAGATAACAAGTAGGTCTATGTGGTAAATTGGACAAATTTCTGTTATTCAAATCCATTCAAGCAGATGAAAGTTTCAATTATGGCCCAATGCAAAATATGCTTTGAGAGAAGGCGTTTAATCCCACTGCCTCTCTGGACCCAAGGGTAGCAAAGCAGATCCCTGATTGCAATATTGCTGATGCACCTGTTTATCAATGATACCAGCACTAAAGACAAGGTGACCAATACGTGGATATTGTTTATATGTTTGGGACAAGAAGGGCATTAGCTCATATTAAACACAGAGTTAGCACCTTTTTGACTTTCAACAGTGATCCTACATATGAATATCATTAGGTGACCTCTAAATTACCTCAAGATTTGTATACCGGTGTCTTAATTGACAACCATGCTCAGTGACTAGAGGCAATACCTCACAGGTAGGCAGTATATGATCAATGTATTGAAGGCAATGTGTGAGCAGTAGGCAAAGCGCTTTCTCTGACTTGTACATGAATTAGTCATGGCTCTCTGATTAGAGGAAATGGGCGGTTTTTACACGTACATGTACATCGGGTCCGACTTCAATACAGGATGCGTTAGAGGGAAACGATCCGGTTTGGAGCTATGCTGCCAAAGTTACCCTAACAAAGTGGACAATTCACATGACCAGTTTAACATGGAAACCTTGTTTTTCTGATAAATCATGACGAATCATACACACAGAATTTTTAAAATTAAAAAAACCCAACTATTCATTAAATATCAGGAAGGATGAGCATGTGATTTCTGCCAAATGAAATTCAAAGAAGTATGTGTAATGTGTGAGACTGTGAGTAATCCAAAAACTATATTTGGATGTGCACATGTACATGTACCATACATTATATGTCTGAAATAGGATATTGTGGAGTGACAAAATGGTTGTGTAGATATATGATCATGATGTCTGTACATGTATTCTACCAGTTGGTTTCATTGATGCAAATAGTTTTAAAGATAAATCTGTTGTACCAGCAGGTTTTCATATATAAATTCCCTATTTCATTATATGATGTGTATACAAGAAAGCAAACAAATGAAAAATAAAACTCTTCAAAATAACATTAAACAGTTAAATCTATAAAATAAAAACATATCACATACTTCACATGTACGTTTCTAATGGGATTTTCCATTTGTTGACAATCTTACAAGTTTTACAAATCTTTTACAATCATAAGTATGTTTACAAACATACATTAATAACATGAGTTGATATATAAAAGGCAATGTGGCATTCAGAATGGACGTGTGCAGTGTAAATTACACAAAGTTTAAAGTTTAAAAAAAAATAGACTCGCACAACATAGAGAAAGACCCATATGTGGACAAAGAGGGCAGTATAAAATGTCTTTCCATCATGGAAAAGACGAGAAATTGAAAATGGCTGAACAAAATGAGTTTAACCTGCATATAAATAGTCTGCATTTAGAGTGAAATATGTAATCTATTTGTGTCATAGCGGAGCGACTTTTCCAGTTTTCCTGAGAGTGAGTAGTTACAAGGCCATGAGCTGGCCTGAAGATATGTTAGAACTACGTACAGTAAGTAGATAATGTTATCTGCTCAGAACCAAACGGGCAATATTAAACTCAATATTAATGAGATGAAATAATCAATGCCTGTATGGTTTGTAGCAGATGATACCGTCCGTTTGAAGCCAGAAGGGCGATAACTCAGACAATTTTACGCAGAATTATCACCCTTTTGGATCCAAAGAGATGATATGAAGCATAAGACATAAAGAAGATACCTTCATGGCTCCATGTTAACCTTGTGAGGGCAGAGATGCCTTCATGGCTCCATGTTGACCTTGTGAGGACAGAGATGCCACATGTTACTACTCCACTGCCGAGGGATGCTTCGCTTCATCACCTTAGAAGTCGTCCACTTGTTGTCATGGAGACCTTCACAGCATCCCGGAGCATCCTTGCTGGTGTTGAGGCAGCATGTCCAGTGGTGTCGTCCGTTCCCTGTTCTATAGTAGTACTTGGGATGCCAGTAGCAAAGCGAGACATCGCCCCGTCTGTCCCTCACCTTACCGCACTGCATGCAGGGGTCGTTGCGGTACGAGTCCATCTCCACCCACTTGGAGTCAACTCCTATAATGTTGAACCTTGTGATCAGCCAGTAAAAGTTCTTGCAGGTGAACTTGAGCTGAGAAAGATCACGTGTGCGAAGTTCTCTGAAAATTTTGAGGACAATCTCAACTGGCATCGTGGCAAATTGATCTTCCTTGTTGTATGACAAATCCTCCAATTCACTTTCTGAATCTTCATAGTCACTGTCATTCAAGTCACTTAGAATGAGCGGGCTCTGGCAAATGAGATACTTCAAGATGCCAACCTTGCGAGGGTTCATCGTTCTCTGGTGTTTGCGTTCTTTGGCTCGTTCATTCTCTGACTTCTTGCTCACTTTCGGATGTACAATTCTGTCACCTTTCTTCAAAATTATATTATCCTTCTTCAATTTATTTTTGGCATCATGCTTTCCTTTGAGATCTACATTTATGTGAAGCTGTACCATATGTGAATGCTCTGCATCAACTGGCCTAGAGCCTTCGACCTTGCATGACTTACTGTCTGATATGGAAAGGCATTGTTCAGATGTTTCTTTATCTTCAATAACGATGACAGATGAAATGAAAGAGAAATCCTCTTCCTTGGCAGCAGGCGACTGGCAATTACCCTGAACAGCTTTGTCTTTCGAGGACGTGGTGTGGATTCCATCTCCTTCCGAAGATAAGTTATGTTCATTGCAAACAGAATGGTCCCTTTTCACAATTGCACATGCACCAAGCAAATAATCATCCTCGACCTGCAGAGTGGATTCAGAACATGAACTTCCTTGTGCGGGTGTGAGCAGAGAAGAGCATGACATCTGTGAGTTGTTGGTTCCCTCAGATGGAATATTGCATTCCCCCTCCTTGAACGCACGGGGTGGACTGAAGGCAACTGACAGAGAGTCCGGCTTGTGGCAATTCTTTGCCTCTGCTTTGGTCATGCCATCTTCTGACTCAGATTTATCCTCTACCATGACACTGTGAGTTGCACTGAGTCTTGATTCACAAACAGACCCACTACTACCTATTCCACTATCCCGGTAAGACACATGATCACGTCCGTTAACAGGTATTGTCAAGGAGCCATCCAGTTTCCAATTGCCTTTTAATCTTTCATTCAGCTCGCTGCCAGCTAACTCAGAGCTGTGGTCCAAATCTTTTATATTCCTGTTCATCAATGACATGCAAGGGTCTCCTAGAGTTGAAGAAGCAAACATTGACAGTTCTCCCTCGCTGATACCATCTTGCGCATCAAGACGACATGCTCCAGAGACATTAGTCTCAGTTTCATCATCACCGGTTATTGTTACACTGTCCAAGAGGGCAGTGCGGTCACACTCATCACTGAAATCAGGCTTTCCACCTCTTTGTGCTACGTCGGATGTTTGCAGAGATTCACTATCTGATCTTCTCCCTTTCAAACGGTTGGCATATTTGTTTGAGCTTTCAGTTGATGTTGAGGTTGATTCAGATTTGTTTGTGACTTTTCTCTTCGAGCTTACACTAAGTCCAGTGATCCTATTAACCTTTTCTGCATCTTTTTTCCTATCGTTTTGGGAGGACCCTTCAAGATGAGCTGCTTGGTTATTCAATCTCTTAGTGTCAGAGACAGAACTAGAACAACCTTTAATAGATTCCTTGTTATGATGATGATCATCACACAATGCTTCAGGTTTTGATCCTTCAGAATCTTTGGTTTTCTTCCCATTCTCACACCCTGTAAATAACAGCCATGCCTTAGACACATAGCTAGTTTGGTCCAAATTACCTCCCTCTTCAGCAACACTGCTCTCCTTTTTGGATGCAGTGCCATTTGACAATGCATTATTTTCAAGGCACTTTTTTTCTTTTTTAAACTGTTGATCCTTCTTAGGTAGGACTCTGGCACTACACTTTCCTTTGCCATCTTGCTTTTGTTGCCCTTGGCGAGTAGGATCCACAGATTTCTTTGGCTTCACAGATACTTGAGGACTTCTTTTGGTGTTTGCTTCATTGAGCCTGTTGGCAGCTCTGGTTTTTTGGACGATCACACTTTGAGCTCTGGGCCGTGGCAGTGTTGGCGGTGGTGCGAGTTTAGAGCGCTTCACCCTGATGTCTCCATGGGCACTTCCTCGTCTCCTTGTATTGATGATCTGATCTCCCCTGGCTGATTTGCAGAACTCCTCATGCATGCTGAGCAGGACAGCAAACCTAGATCTTGGGCATCCCTTCTGCAGGACAACCCTGCATAACTCCTGGTCCTTCAGGAACCCCAGGCTCTCACACCAACAGTTCCCCTCCCCAGCCTGCCCACAGATACAGATGGGCAGTTGCTGGTGTGGGTGATGCAGATTGGCATTATCAGAGGGGTGAGGAAAGCCTGTCTGCACAGCCCTGCTGTGCATCTCTGGCTTTGAAGACTGTCCTGCACTAGCCATTCTGTTTCCTCCTGCTCTGCATTGGTGTCCTGAAGTCGATGGCTGTTGACCCCCTTCTTGAAACACTACTAACGTCATCCTGTCGTTTCTGGTCTCTCCTTCTTTAGGTACCTGGTCTAGAATGGCATCTCCTCAGTACCCAACCTCTCACCTGTTTGCAGTACATACGTGACAGAGGTACTCTGATCTGCAAGAAACAAACCAAAGATGAAAGATGAGTTTTAAAAATAGTTTTTCTGTCAGAATTATCTTCATACTAAGTAAAAATATTATAGTCTCAGCGAGCTTATTAAAAAGAATCTTAAGCAAAAGGGAGGTTATGCTTAACCAAGCTTTACTTAATGGGAAGTGATGGCGCACATGGAGTTTCCTGGGGGAAGACGAAGGGTCACGTGGTAAACCTTTGTCACCACTACGGATTCACACTACATTCAAATGATAAGAAAATGACGGTGATGCTCCAAAAATAAAATCTGAGCTTAAATCGACATCTATTTACGGCCGAGTGAGCTAAAACATGGGGGAACTCTTAAATCAGACACATCCTGTGCAAGGGGGTAGTACGAGTAGTAGTCTGAAGAAATCAATGATTCAAGTAATACAGCCAGGGGAGAAGTGCTAGGGGGTGTAGTAGATAGTATGTCCACAGTCACACTGTCAACCATGGAATAATAATTATGGATGAAACTATCTTCTAACCTGCATATAAAGGATATTCAATGCAAACGTTTAAATCAGTTTTGGTAATTCTATCCAGATTCTACAGCACATGCATTGTACTGCAAGCTTTCACAAAGTGGTCTAGCTGGGCCCTGGTTCATAAAATCTGTTATCAATACCAAGTTGCAATAGCTGTTATAAGCCACTGAAATAGTTCCAATCCAATCCAGGAATTTATTAAGCGCCCATATCTAGTAGTTACCTAATCACAGGCGCTGATGAGACTGAAAAACTACCAAAAATGTTGGTTCATGATTCTAATTGGGAAAGACAAAAAGGCAGTGACTAATTGTAAGCAATCTGAAATAGGTATGTCTTTAGTTGAGTTCTGAAAGTGGATAAATGGTGAAAAAAGCGAAGGATTTGGGGAAGACCATTCCACATTCCAATCAAATAGTTGCATTTGATTTGCTCAAAAAAAATTTGTTACAAAAACGCGACACTGGTTATTGATAATAACAGGGCCCACATTAATGAGAGTTTCATGCCACAAAGTAACTGAATTATGTTTGAAATCTCTAAAAAGCTCTAAGTTAATTTCAAGAAAATAGCCTTGGTGAATTAGTTGTGGACAAGTGTGGTTTTAAGAGATTTTACCTTATAGAACAGAGATGCACACTAAACCCAACTGTGCTATAAATAGAGATTTGTCACTATAACAGGTTTGATTGATGATACAAATATGATAGGTGAACAAGTTTATTTATCTTCTACTTTAAACACAAAACTTATACCAGTAATCAAACCAGTTTTTATTATGATATCAAATACATACAGTAGTTAGTACCAGTATGCTTCACTGTTTACATTAAGTAAAATTGTATAGAGGGAAAAAAAATCATTAAAGACCATGGTGATTATTTAAATAATAACTACCATATTTCTAACCTCCCATCTGCCATCCACCATTTCAACGTTAATGTTCCCATGAAACTAAAAGTAAATAGAGCCTATCGGTAAAAACATACAGGAGCGTGTACTTTATTATACGTCTTCACTGTCTAGCTCTGAACTACATGCATGTAGAATGCATTCCCCTTAATCACCTGACCTATACTATAGTGTCTTCAATTAATGTCTAATTCCATAGCCATGTGACGCTATAAAGTTTTCCAGAAAGGGAAAGAGAGAGAAAGAGAGAGAGAGAGAGAGAAATAGAGAGAAATAGAGAGAGAAAGAGAGAGAGAGAGAGAGAGAGAGAGAGAGAAATAGAGAAAGGGAGAGAGGGAGAGAGAGAGAGAGAAATAGATAGAGAAAGAGAGAGAGGGAAATGGAGGGGGAGAAAATGGAAAGAGGAGAAAAATAAAGATGAAAAGATAAACAAGAAAAAGTGATGAGAGAAGAGACAATAAAGAGAAAGAGGGAAGAAGGGAGAAAGAAGGAGAAAGTACAGACAGATGATAAAATCAAAGTAGAGAGATAAGATAGATAAAGGAAAAGATGAGACAAGGATAGGGGGAGGGGAGGGGGAGGGGGAGAAGAAGAAAAGGTCAAGTGAGAGAGAAGAAAAAAATTAAAAAGGTGAGAGGGGAGACTGTTTGGGCCTATATGTTGATATATTTAGAAATAATTAAATTGAGAACCCAACACCGTATGCCTCATCACAAGCTCAGAATGACATGAATTTCAAGTCTTAATTCTATAATCTATGAATAACTTGATAATACAGAGATCCATGATACAATGTACCAGGTAATCTATGTATGTGAGGGGCAACAGGAAGAAGGCATAATAAAAATCTGATTCCACAACGGTAAAACATAAAAAAGGCCCATGAGCTACTGCAACTTTGTTGAGAAAGGAATAACTTTTCACTCTGTAATTCAAGACCTATTAAGCACAACACAAGGCAATTTGAAGAGTATTTTCCCCACATTTTGTGCTTGTTGTTTTGTTTTGTTTTTGTGCCTAATAAATTCAACTTATAGGGTTAGGGTTAGTCACAAAAGAATTTTTCTGCAACGTGAATACATGAGTTAATCATATCTATGTGTACTACCTCATTTTCATTTTCTCCATATACAGAAATTTATCAGGATGGGGTGTATTGGATAAACAGATACATGTAGCTACACATGTGCAAGTAAAATACAAGTTTAGCAATGAGAAATACACGCCACCATAACTATTTCAAGGATTGGAATGTATTAATGTGTATCCTCATAAGTAACTACAAAGGGTAAAATTGATTTCTCAAATATCATTTCCAGCTATGTTAATTAGTCATATCAAAGCAAACTTATCAAAACGAGCCATCAATCTTACCGAGAAGAGTCACAACAGAGATGAATGAATCCTATATTCACAAACAATTACGATCAGAACAACAATATCCACAATAGAATTCAACTTATTCTCCAGAAGAATTCACACAAGAAAAACTCTACACAACAATGGCAGAAGTAAGCATCCATGAACTTGAGCGAAGTTTGAAGCAACAGTGCATGTGGGATATATCCAACGTATGGCGTGTCTTCGAAGAGAGAGATCCCTTTTATGCTATCGATGTACCACTATCAGACGCAACTGCATGGGAAAGTTTCAGAAGGGATATATCTATGCGACTCGTGGGAAAACAACATTGAGCCTGGCTGCGTTATGAGAGTGCGCAAGTTCCTCTATGATAGTTGCTTTACATGAGCTCCAATCCTGAGCACAAATGACTAAGAGCTGTTCTGCTGGTGCATGTATACGAAAAGAGTAACTGTGCTGTCTATTACACATGCCCGTGCTTCTCTAAACACACACACACACCCACAGTGCTAATACATTCTTGCCTATGCAAACATTGTCTAGAAATTAGGATACACATGTTGAACTCTGAGTGTGAGTTCAAGTTCATAGCTTGTCTCTGCTCTGTTCAAAAGTCACTGTTAGACGTAAAATCAAACAATTGCAACATTTATAACTTTTATCAAAGAGTAAAATGATTCATGATATCATGTGGAGAAACTGTGAATAATATGATCAGCTCAATTAGCCAATTGACACAAAGCTTTTTTTTATGTCAATATGAATTATGAAACAAATAAACATTTCACAACATCATACATATTTAATGTATTATGTAGTATATTTATGTATACATGAGCTATGTATGACCGGTATTTGTTCAGCTAATGACAAGAGCTTTCTTCAGAAACTTGATCTCTTATGGTAACCCACAGGTATTTAGTTGATGGTTTCTTTTTTCCTGTTATTGTATTTATTATTGTACTTTGTTTTCTTGTATTCTTTGTTATTGTTATACTCCTTTATATTCCTGGAAAAGATATAACCATAAAAGAATGAACATGATGCTTATGAATTTGTTGAAGATTACAAAAGGAAAATTTGAGAGCCTATAGGGCCTATGTATGTTATGGTGAGAGTCAGAAAGCTACAAGTGTAAATTCACATCACTTTACAGAGTTCAACATCCTACTCGTATCATCACACGGTATTGATTTCACTCAATAGTTAATTTCCTATCAATAATGACAATATGACAATATGATTGATATAACAGCTCTCATTCAAGTGACCAATTCTACAGTAATCATACTCTTCTTTCTTCTTCTCTCTAAATGTCAATTATTCATTGACAATATTCCAACAAAAACAAAGGTTCATATTCCCTGAACCTGAACCACAAACTCAAGAGCTACTTGACCTTCCTATGAACTCAAAATAAATATATGTTCATGCTGTTCTCAGTTCTGGTAATACAAAAAAATCTTTTGGAAAATCCAACACTTTGCACTGACCGTTAAAACTATTGAATAAAAGAAAGTACTTATGGATTCATATCCAAATAAACCATATCTGCTATGGTTGTGAAGTAAATTTAAAGTTGGGTCACAAACGAAGAAGATAAACATAGTACATGTACGTCTGGATTGGCCTAAGAAAAGAACGCTTAGTCACATATGTGGAGCACATGCGGGACTTTATAGTGCTGTTTAGTTTTATTTTTATCATTTTTGCTTCCCATAGCACTGGAATTTCTGAAATTTGTCAAATACCTGCTTTCACAGGTCCAATAATCATGTATACAATCTCAAAATGTTTGGAAAATTGATGAAGGAAAATGATCATTTGTCTGTTGTATTGAAAGAGCTACATGTATTTGTGTAATTAGATTGAAAATTTGAAATCCACACTTTGAAATTGAATTTTTTTTATTAGGTGGTATGTGTAGCTGTGTATGGCACAAAACACAATCACGGAGAACTGATCGCATCCACCGTCAAGAGTCAGAAGGGTGTTAACTCAAAGTGGAAGTTTTGAGTAAACATCCTTCTGGCTCTAAGCAAAATATATCAGAATTTAGGCAAGAAGAAATACATTGATCAGTCCAAGAAGTTACTAGCAACTTCTTGCTCAGACTGCTCTCGCTAGCTAGTACTCCATGGCTAGTAACTTCTTGATCAGTCAATGTCCTTTGGTAAATTCACAAGAATTATAGAGTCATGACATGACGTGCTA